TAAAAAAAACATGAAATGAAGCAAATAAAAACACGATCGAAGAAAAGTGGACGTTATTGTCGTTACGACGATCGGAACATATCCGTGGTTATCTGTGACACAGATATTCCATAACGGTCAACCAATTGACAGCGTCCGTAACACTTCCGAAGTGATTTCAACTTTCGAGTGTCTTCAACTTTATCACTTGGAACCCTGGTTATTCAATAGCTTCCTTGTAAGCTGCAATCCTCTATCAAAGAAATCATGATAGGAAATGCAAGCTCAGGAATATCATATCAACTGTGAAATATATACTCCATAGGAAGCGCTGTTGGAATGTAGCTACATAGAAAAGGAAAGTTTACAATTAGGAAGCTGAAATCCTCCTATTTGTCATATACTTTTGTTCTCAACCGACCCTCATTGTCAATTTCTACATGTAAGCCTAAGATACGAGGCAGACTTAATTGTATATGTGGGATCCTTTTTTTCAAGTTCTATGGGTTAAATACGTTCAACATAGTCACCAAATTTGGATTTATTTAGTGAGAGGACATCAACAATATAGCGGAACGTGATGTTAAAGGATAAAACTACCAGAGAAGCTGCTGTATTAATTCTGTCTTATGTGTTTGCAAAAAAGCAAGTCGGCAAAAAGAGGAGCTCAATTAGTGCCCATAGGAATGCCTAGAGTGGTTTTTGACGCTTGTCATTTTGTTTTATGAAACAATGTTTGACTAGTTCTTTCAACCTTGCTTTCAGTATAGAATGAGGTATACTAGTGTAAGGGTAGAGAAGTCAGTTTGTTTATGCTATTGCAAGAGGAAAAGACTTAAGATTTTATGTTTAACTACTAGTAACAGATCTTTCCAACTTTTTAATTAGTTGTTTCAAAGTAATTCTGAAGCCTGGCTTTGATTGTTGATGAAATTGATGTTATATAAAAATAAGAAGATATGGTATGATTGCCAATGAGAAAACTCTCCACCAGAGACCAGCAGTTTGAAAAGAGGTTTCATGGAGCACTTGACAGACCTAACAATATAGCGTTGTTTGAAGGACACTTGTGTTATTTTGGTATCCAGTACAGTGAAAAAAGATCATGTCCATCCTCTTTGGTAGAAATTCTTAAAGAACATAAATCAGACCTATGATTGTTTAGAATTTCCTCTTTGGTAAGTGTCGTGGCGTATATGTTGAGTTTCCAAGTAAATTGGCAATACCTTATTCTGTTATTAAGCAGTTTATGTACATGTAATGTGATTTACATACAAAAACGATGTTATTCGGGGCTTTGTCTGCGTGGACAACATTTGTGTTATGGAGGTAAGACATGTGTTTAGCAACGTTTGGGTTTTTAAAGATAAATGTAGTGTGAGTGCTCATAGACCCATTCAGTTTTTTTAAATTCTAATTTGCATTAACGACCTTACAACCTTAACGCATTTGGAAAGAGTATACACTTCTTCTCTTTTGCGTTTAACCCTTTACCTGATATAAGTAGTAACTGAATCTATTAGAATTTTTTAAGTTGTGTTTTCAATGTATGGATTCAAGTAGGCTAACGGTATTTCGGTCATTTGGTTAACACATTTCGAGGAGAAGTATTGTTGACAAAGATTTAATAGGTTACCAGTATAATAACTCCGCCAGCTGGATTATATTGATTGGGAACTAACAGATGATTAGATATGAAGTCGTCAATACTGAGATCATGCAACACCGTTTTATAATTGAAAATATTTTAGGCGCAATAGGTGTGGTATGTGTTTAAGATAGGAGGTATTTTTTTTATGGAATTGATTTATGATTAAGGATATTGCCTAAATTTTTTGGCATCGATACCTTAATTTGGAAAAGAAAGTTTTAGAAAAGATCGTTCCTCATAACAACTTTCCCAAATGCCAACTGGTCAGAAAAGTCTGTGACTGGCAGTATCCGACATGATAGCTGTACTTTTGTATTGGTTTGAATGTTGATTTGTAACAGGGTTTCAAAATTAGTTGTAATTGCAATTTCTGTTCGACGATACTTTAAATTTTCATTTTTCGCACAGACCATGGAATTGTTTTCGCTACTTATTGCTCATATTCTATGAATGATTAAATATTTGGAATGGAATTTTATCTTAAACAATGGACAAACGAACACACTGAATAACAAATCGTGTGAACTAATTCCAAGGAAGACGACCAAATAGCTGGTGCATGTCATCATCATTTTTCCGGATATGATAATGATAAAATGAAATATTTTTGTACTTTTCATATATTCAATGCCATAAATCAACGTAAAGTTTTATCAAAAAGTTTTAAAAACAAAGAATTTATAAAAGTTGTATTTTGATGTGTACAGTGTAGCAGGTAATGTTTCTGAATAAACAATGAGTAATTAATGTGTGAATGAAATGTCCGTTTTTCATTTCCTGTTTCATAAAGGCACGAAGCTGGGCTATAAACTTCAAATTTAAGTACATTAAATATTTACCTTTTCACATGATTTATCAGAAAGAGCACAGCTAGGTTATCAGTATCGTTCATAAAAAAAATATATAACTGAAACATGTCTGACGTCAGTAGTCGGGGCTACTAGAATATCAAAAATGATTCGTTAATCTAAAGTTATTTTCCGATTGTAGTTGTTTTTGGATAATTTTCGATCGAAAATAGGGGTTCAACAAACCACAATTTTGTACTCTAAACACACGTCATAATAATACATTTTATAGTTATAAAAGTCACCTTATGTTTCAGGCTGAACAAAGAGAAAAACTTTATCTTTATCTAGAAAACGGAAATTCAACTACATGTTAAACCTCATACAAGCATAAATTTCTTGAATGTTCTTTATCCAAAACTCAGTAATTCATATACATAAAGGTTGAAATTATAATTTATTTTGTATTTTAATTTTAATAATGTTCTCCACAAAAAAAAGACATTTTTTATTATTTTAGTTTATTTGTCCGTTCGTCTGGTTTTTTTTTTTTAAATTGTCTCTGTTTTATCATTGATTTTGTTAATTTTGTTTTTTGTTATTTTGTATTTGTATGTTTTTTTTCCTTTTTGCTTAGTGAACACGTCGAAGTGTTTGTACATAAATTCGTCTGAATCCAGGAAATTCTTATTTGTCTTTTAATCATAGATTATAATAATTCCACATATATCATAATCCAAATAGAGATAATGTAAACACAAGAATCAAAGATATAACCAATACGTACAGTATGTACGTCGATTTTCATGTTTTATGATTACACCCTATATTTATCCGTGTTGAATGTCTCCCTATGACATTAAGATGAAGAACAAGACAATTAAGTGCTGTTCTTCTGTTTTGGGTTATGTCAATTGCGTTTAATGATTTCGGGTAATGAATTATTTCACCATGTCCTTATTGGTTAATGGAATGAATAAAAACTTCCAATCCGGTACGGTTGTGGAAATACAATGTTAAAGTTCATTTTTGATAAAGACGACCAGGCTTCTTCCTTTTCTATTTCAAATTATCATGTTTCAGTTTGTATGACTGCTATTGAGATAAAATCTCTTCGATGTTTTTATAAATTTAGATTTTACTGAATTTAAGCTGAAAATTAACTAATTTAAGTTTAAATCCCAAAATATTGAAATAAACAAGAACGTGTTTTCTTTTACAATAGCCGACTCGAAATGTATTGAAAGAGATGTTTAACTCTGTAGTGTTATATTACACCATTCAAATCAAACAAGAGGAAATGAGAAACTCGGGAGGTTAAAATCTTTGAAGATGGTCTAAAAATGTAACCAAGTATAAAAGGTATTGAATGACAGGCTACGTTGACATATACACTGTCGGTGATGTACAAAGGTGTGAGAAAAGTCAAGTTGACCGATGTTACAATACCTATTTGTCTTGATATTAAACGCATCATTTTCACAACACAGAAATATAAAAATTATTAGTAAATTAACAACAGTTTGATTACTTTCTGATTCAAGTTTTTATTCTCTTTTTTTCAGTATTTTTTGTTGTATTCTTTTTTGCTTGATTTATTTTTTAAGTTTTTTTTCTGTCTTGAGCATCTGACGTGACGAGCTTGAGGAAAACTAGCGGTGTTAATAAATTTCCTCAAATAATCAAATTACTTCATTAATACTCTGCTAAAGTTATAGTCCCAAAATCTGTTATTTTGGTGCATTATTTGTTGTCGTTACATTAAAGTTTTTTTTTCATTTTCATCTCTAATAATCTCCCTGATAAAACGTGTCTCCTCAATATATGCTGAAGCTACTGTTTCAATTAGGGAGCAACCATTTAACTTCAAGGGGGGGGGGGGGGGGTTATGGTTTTTTGTTTGAGTCAGAATTTTTTTTTTTAGTAACCCCCCCTCCCCCTTGAAGTTAAATGGTCGTTCCCTTAACAGCAATTGAGCAAATTATTACTGCAGTTTGTTCATACATTTCCAACTCTGTTCTGCATGTCTTGGACATTATATATGTCCCATGCACTTTGTGCATAGTCAAAGGAACGGATTTCTGTAAAGATCTTCTGAATGCAAGTTCCAGTATATAACAACGCCGTTATTAAGTCCCATCACACCTCCTTGTCCTGCTGAACATACAAAATAACGTAATTTGGCCGTATGGCCAGACTCGGGTCAATTAATGAAATTTTGAATAACATGTAATTAAGTTGTAACGGGTGAATTGTCTTCGATTTGCAAATAAGATTATCAATTTCTATTCTTTTATATTAGTGTATATTTGCAATGTTCCCATATAAACAATGTGAACAGTACTTCGCATATTGGATATTTAATAACATTGCAAACTTGTTTGACAAGAATTATGTAAAATTCCGATAAAAGATCTGGGAGAATCCATTCCCTTCGTACTCTATTGTTGTTATTCATAGTTATAAAATTCGGTAAACAATTATTGTTTAGGTAATGCCATTCTGGGTAGAATTATTTATTTTCGTTTTACCTGAGTAGTCATTTGTACATCAAATAGGTTTTCTAAAAATTATTTTCAAATAATGAAAAGGGTAGAGAATCCCGAAGAGTACATTCGTTTGGAAATAACTGGGTGGGTCATAACCATGAATCGGTATTAAAAAAATCCGTCGATTTTCATGTTTTGTGATTTTTTTCGAATTGGATAAACTTTTATCATTTTGGATACTTGTGTTACCTGCTTTGGGATATAAGTAAATTTTCGAAACGGATTAATTTATAATTAATTCAATTTAGGTAAGTTTATTTTCAAGTTTTAATTACACATGGACACTTATGCATCTGTTAAAAAAAAATATGAAAATGCCCGAGGCAAGTCTGATCTCCCCCAAAACTTTGAATTAAATTTAAATTTACACTGACACATGATAAATATTTGAAATAAAGATTAGTGCACTTGTTTACAGAGGATATTTGGAAACTGAACAGGGAATTATTAAAAACGCATTTTTTAAAAAAAATTTAACTTGAAAAGGCGCTTGCATGATATTGAAACCTTATTTAAGAAATAGAGATGACTATCTGAAAAAGGCGCTTGCTGAGTATGCAAAACTGAGAATGAAAAAATGACGTTGTGCATACATTTGCACATAAACTCTCTTATAGATTGAATTATTAATATTAGCTCAACACGTTAATAAAGCTGCTGCAAACACATAGTTGTGCACAGGTCTTTTAATCTATAAAATAACATTATGGATTACAAGTTGTATTCATATGTGTACTATTATAACTTCCGCACTTAAGGAAGAAATTGAAAATCATTCTAAGTACCGATAAAACATTTAAAGCATATGGATTTTAAATACTATTTTGCTTTTATATTATATGTTATTCTATTAAAGGTGTTTAAAAAAAATACCAATGCGTTGAAACGTGTGACTACTAGACTGAAAGCAATATGGACGAGATACGCGTAATTAAAAATTTAATATTTAACACGTCCGACAATAGATAATCCCTTTTCATTGAAATCCTAAATACTAGATAATTCCTATTAATAAGGGTTATTGTGTAATAACAAACAAGGAGATGGATCACAAACAGTAGCTTCGTTAACTATTTTGAAAAAATCGTGACTGGAAAAGTGTCGACGATAAGATTTAATGGCGTAATGAACTTATTTGAGGCTATTTCAAACATGACTTGACCTATGATATTTTTCATTTATTAATGAAGATTAAGGTCATTCAAACATATTTTAGTCTTCCTTATTAATTATCAGTTATATATGCAAAATATGTTATATTGTGTATATTATCATCTCTGTAACTATGTAATTTAGTTAATGAGAATAAAGATATATCTATCTGTCTAAACTATTCAACAGGTAAACTATACGTACAAGTATACTTTTGCAGTGTTAAATAAAATTTAGGAGTCAATTGGTGATAAATTATGATAAACTATTTGCAAATTATGCTTGTTTTCGATATTCCCAATGAAACTGGCCATTGGCTAATTTAAGTTATTCTAGGTGTTCGAATTATTATGTTTTTTAAGGTTTTTTTACTAAAAAGTTTCAAGTAACCACGGTCAAACAAATACTTATTTACTGGTATATCATTTTGTTTGTTTATTTGTTATAGATCTGTTAAAAAAAAGATATGGTATGATTGCCAATAAGACAACTATCTATCAAAGACAAAGGGGCAAATATGTAAACTGTTTTGTTCAGAAATTATTTCTATTAAATCGATAAGTTGTTGCACGGTGTCGTTCAGCAGATTAACACAATCACCAATTTGTATCTGTCAGCACATTTTTTTCAGCAGACTCATAAGTCATAACTGACCATTTTCCTATTTTATCGCGACTTTAATAACTCAATAGTATATGCTTCACTTCAATAACGATGAGCGTCTCTAAATTTGTTTATACAAAACTTTTAAATTGTTCGATATCACATTAAAATCTTAAAATGAAATGTGATCAGTTTCAGTGAATGACTGCTTGGCTGTAAAATAGTTATGGCTGATTGTTCTTTCTGAACTAAACTGCATTTTCATGCAGCAAGTTGTAAACTGATCTAAAACTAATCGTATGGTTGAATGATTTTTAAGGTGTTGTCGGGTGGGGTTTAAATAAAGCAACTGCTTTTTTTACCACCTGTGATAATTTTTTCCTTTTTCCTTCTAGCCTTTAAACTAAATAAGTTTCAAATAAGAATTTGAAGTGAAGAGGCCTGTCACTAAATATACTTCTAAAATTCACATTAGAAATTATCTGTCATATCGAAGAAAAATGCAACAGAACTTAACGACGGAAGGTCCGATTAAAAAATCGTCCATAGTTTAATGAATGAAAAGGTCTATAGAAACGTCCGTGAGAAACCCACATTCCAAGACAACAATAAGTCCATTTAAACACACGATATAAAGTTTAAATAACCTTAAAAGCGTATCAATTCCTTTTAATTTTGTATGGGAGTTTTACTTTATAATAATAGTTTTAAGATTATGTAAATAACAAAAGAGTAGCCGTGTATACACATAAATTTGACCACGGGTTCCATTCTTAATGGTTCTAATTATTGGTTTATAGGAATGATATCATCAATACATGTCTAATACAAACAACATGTAAAACACATTTCATGTGGCGTTTCTCTCTCTAAGATATGGTTACCTTTCTTATGATGTGCTCGGATTTATTTTGATAAAAACACAAAAATAAAAAATGATAAACAGATTGATAAGGTCAAAGAAATATACTTAAATATATATTTTTCTTGACCAATACTAATTTTCACTCCTGGTAAAGTAATTTTTTATAAACTGAAACAACAATGTGGGAGAAGTCTAATGGATTATGCGTAATAAATTGGGTGACGTTCAAGATTTTTTGTTTGATTTACAAAATCTGTTGTTGAAGTAAGGCAAGTTTGCAACGTCCATTTGCCAATATTAAAGAGATATTAAGGACGATGCCCCATCATAAACATAATCTTTATCTTTCCTGTACCTTTTTTCGTCTTTTTCATTTAGACCATCAGGTTTTAAAATATGGAGCTGAGCTGGTGGATCCAATAGTTTTCTCGTCTCCTTCTCGCTGCGGTGTCCTACTCCGTGTTCACTTCTATAATTTGAAAAGTAACTTTATCAAAATGATGTTTCTTTGAGAGAAGATGTCTTGTGAGGGGACAGTTTTTGTTGGTTTTGTACCACGACCGATGGTTATTCAGCCGACTATTAAATTTGTCAATTTTCTTTCACGTACTGAATGATACAGGTGTTACATAAATTGAGTTTTCCGTTTAACAGTTGGAATTTACGTATATGGTATAACTTTGTATTGTAAAGGAGCTTATAAAAGAACTGCTAGTATTTTCAGCTTTACAACACAAACAATGCCTTCTCCTACATTGTTTGTAGAAAACAGGAGATGGAGTAGGTTCCTTTGTTAATACAGCTTGAAATAATTTGTAACGGATGTTTTTGGTCTTCTGAAGGCCATGACTGATAGTGAGGGAAACACTTTTTTTTCAAATTGGAGTAATTTTCTATAATTTTCCAAAGCTTTCGAACAATGGATGACACATTTTTGAAAGCAGGATGGTAATTGAGTACAAGAGGTATTCTGTTGGCTCCATGATTCTTATCCCTGTACCCCAGAAGTTCTTTTCGGTCAATTCTGTTTGCTTTTTTCGAAACTTGTATATATACTGTGTTCATTGTCTCCTCGAGCATCAAGATGTTTACGTAGTTGTCAAAGTCTAGCATTTTGCTTATTTTCAGTTGCGTATATTCTCTTGATTCGCAGTGACTTGACTGAAAGGGATACCACGGGAGCATTGTTTTGGAAGGCAACTTGTTTGGAGAGAGAAATTGCTTAACGTCCAGTGGCAAATTAAATGCATATTCAGGATGAGAACATGTTAACGTGTTGTTTTCAATTTTTTACATCACTGGGTCGATACCTCTGCTGGTGGACTATCAGTCCCCGAGGGTATCATCAGCTCAGTAGTCAGTACTTTGGTACTGACATGATTTATAACAAACCTTTCTAAAATTTTCCGTTTATAAATTTTCAAATTATAAAGAAACTAAGGATTCAACTCCCTCAGGCAAAGTTGACCTTAGATGAATTTGGCTATTTGTTTTAGGTATTTTTGTCATATAGCTCTTCAACTGTTTCGGTACTTGTACATCCCTCGGATTTCAAATGTTCGGCTCTGAGCGTTCCTGATGAAGGTAAATCCAGAAAAGCGCTTCGGACGCATGAAATTATTAAACGTGTTGTTTTCAATTTTTTGATGTAATATGAATATTACCCCTGCTTTGTACTAGACCGACAGGATTTTTAATGTGCTCGTTCACAATGTAACAGTCCAAAGGAAGACATGTCTCCCTACCCAGACACATTATTCTTATTCCGAGCCGACATGTCTTTGCTCTTGCTACTCCTTAATGCAGCATGCTTAGTGGAGAAACAGCAAATACCCAATTTTTAAAGTCTTTGGTATGACCCGGCCGAGGCACCCGAGGCGAACATGCTACCACGAGACCACAGAGGCGGTTAAAAGAGAGAAATTGATGCTTGTCTGTTTTCTTCATATGGAGATCCGTTATCATTGTTACGTTCTGGATGTTACTAGTAGTATCAAGGAAGTTAATTTTTACCATTGATGTTTCGTGTGTAAATTGAATCGAATGATGGAAAGAGTTACAGTGTCCAAGAAATTCATTCAGGCGAATCTGTCCATTTAAAATCATTATCATCAATAAATCGACCATGATAATGGCTGGTATGGAGCACTAGCCAAGAGGCGTTTTTTCAAGTTGGTCTAAATATGTTGTCATATGACAGGACCACTTTTTGCCCATACTAGTGCCGTCTACCTGTAGATAGTGTTTGTCATTAAAAGAGAACTTGTTGCTCTCCAGCACTAGTTTCATAAGTGTAATCAGGGACTCAGTTGGAGGATTTTTGTCTCTCCGGTTGTTCCATACCTCTTCATACGCTGCAATTCTATCGTCTTGTGGAATATTTGTATACAAAGATTACACGCCCATGGATGCGAGTTTGGTATTGTTTGTAAAGGATTTAGGCTTTCTATTTTCTTTAGATAATCAGTAGTATATTGACTCGTCATATAAGAGGGGAGTTCTTTAACACGACCTCTTAAAAGAGTCTATAAATTCATAAATATTTTCTGTTGGATGATCATTTGCAGAAACGATTTGTCGACCTGGATTCATACCATGTTCATTGGTATATATATATATACCAATGAA